GGAGGAGGTGTGAGAAGCACATTCCTGGCAAGTCAGCTCATGCTTGGGAGGCAGGACATGGCCACTGCAACCCTGTCCACCTGCCAGCTTGCGGGTGACCCTAGGAAGGAGGCCTGTGAGAAGAAAGACCTCACAAATGGAGCCTTCCTCTGTTTGGTTATGGTTTGTCCATAACAGTGCACCCCTTGTCGGAGCTTTCGATGAGGAGTCCGGGCTCAGGCCCTCCAGAGCAAACTGCTCAGAGCTGAGGCTCACTCCCCAACCTCAGAACCCAGCACTACACTCCTCCCACCCGCCTCAGTGGGCCGCCTGCACCGCATTCAAATGCTAACAATAGTGGGACTCAGTGACCCAGAAATAAGAGCAGCACAGAGCCCTTTAATCCCCAAAGTCATCCGACTTCGGTCATTTCTGCCCCTCCCTGATTCCAGGCTGGCACAGGCCTTCGAGGGGACTGAGGGCTGGCCTGTCTGAGCTGACTGCCACCACGTCGCCAAAGAAATCCTCTTTTCCTCCACGTTGACAAGGAAGTCCCTACGTGGTGAGCACACTATGCAGGACTGTCTCTTCCCTCGGAGGGCGGGGGCGGCGGACCTGGCCAGGAAGGGCCCTCCATGGCTCGCTCTCATTCTCTGCGCATCTGAGCCACCTTTTCATCACACAGCCAGCCTTCCCGCTGAACAGAAAGCAAGCATCAAAGGGGCAGTCCTCCTCGCCCCCTCCAAAATCCTGCAGCCTTTGTTGTCGCCGGGCCTGGGTGGTTATTGAACTTTGCAGACCTGCTGGGCCTGGAAAGTGAACACACCCTCCGGAGCCAGCAGGGGTGGGTCTGTGCACCGGGAGACCGGGCTGCGCGGAGGGCCCTGCGGTTGCCATGGCACCCTGACACCCAGCTCCTTCCTGATGAATGTCACGGGGTCTGTGACTAAAGTTGTTTATGAGTCAGAAGTCTCCTGAAACTCCAGGAGGAAATGATGACCGCCGGGCAGGCTGTGGGAAGAGGGATGGAGAGTCCTGGAGGCTGATGCTCCCCGCCCCGGCTGGCAGAGGAAGAGGGTCTGTAAATACAGCAGAGCGAGGCTTGCCGCACCGCCTGACATTTCATTCCTCACTGCGCCGGAGACAGCCTGGGAGAAGCCGTCTTTTAAATCACACGCTGTCCGCTGTAGTGTTAAAATACGACGATCCGGGCGCGGAGGCTCAGCACACAGCACGGAGCTGAGCCCCGCCAGGGCCTGGGCGAGCTGCCTCTGATCACTCTGCTTATTCTGCGTCCTTTGTT